TGACCCCCCCGGCGGCGCGGCACCACCGCCGCCAGAGAAGGGATTATGGCTGAGCTGGCTTTTACCGTAATGAAAAAAAATAGTAAAAATCCCCCGATGACTGGCCTCTCTCACGTCCCCAAGAGGAGTTTAAATAACAAAACAGGAAGGCAGAAATACCAAATGGTGAACAAAGGGCAAGAGTATCATCATTTTAAGCACTGCTGGAGGGCCTGAGCCTTCCTCACCTGAGCACTAGAAGCTCTCCCTGGCTCTGGCAGGGTCAGGGTAAGACATGGGAGGGACGGGGGGACAGAAAAACGGAAATGGGGAACAAAAAAATTGGCCTCAAGCAATTGATCATCAGATCTGACTGTAATAATGATTCAGTAAGTCTTAGCTTCTTTTTGCACTTCTTCATTTAGGTTTTAAAAGTAAAGCATTGAGTTATTTCCCGGGGTTTGCAAGACAGGGTGAGCTGGCGTTGTGATTCAGGAGCATGGCGCACACAGCTCCTCCCCTCGGGGAGGATTTTACACCAGTGAATCCTGCAGTGAAATACACTTATTCGACACGACATTCGTTAAAAAAGCTCTGGATGCCCAGCCCCCACCCCCCTCTAAATAGAGGCTAGTCTTTACATTTCTTAGACTGAAAAAAGAATAATAATAAAAAGAGTTAAATTCCCTCCAACGGACATGCATGACTCCCTGTGAAGCCAGCAGTGAAGGAGCAGCACGCACTTACTCAAAAGAGATTTCTGCTTTAAGCCATCCCTATTACATCTCACGTGCATAAACACGTATTAGGACCCAGCCCAGTGACAGCCGTAGTACCCTGTTTTTCTGTTGCTAGAGGCAGGGCTTCTTCATTTCCAAAAGAGGTGGCACACCCAGGCAGGAGAAAAGCCCGGCAGCTTTGACTCCAACCCCAAACGAGAAGCGGCATTGAAGATAACCGGTTGTATTCATGATCACCCCATCTGAAAACCTCAGTTGCGCTGCCATCATCTCAACTATTCACGCAGGGTCCGCCAGCATGCCGGTACCCAGAGGCTTCCCCAGCCCTCCCACCCCAACCACCCTGCAGCCCCCCACCACCTCCAACTGCCCAGCCAGGGATTGGCACCCGGTCTGGGAGGTGGCCCCCTCGCCTCACACTCCCCTCTCCGCAGAGTGGCTCTACAGT